AGTCATTCTGGAGAAAAAAAAACCCACCACAAAAAAGGAGCTCATAGTACAGGCACCTAGCAGACGCTCAAGAAATTTTTTAAGAGGGTAATAAGAAATGGAAGAAAAGGAAGAAACAAGCTGCAAAATACCAAGCAGCATTTATATAAGTTCAAACAGCATGTATTTTATGAAAAGTTTATTAGATGCATGCATTCCTTTCAGCAAATGCTTACCTAAATTTCAGCTCTTAAAAAATACAGTTCAAAAGACATCATAAGCATGATGTTTATTCCTTTTTGGGATTGGTGAAGCAGATAGGAAAGAGCCAGACTAAGAAACAAGCCTCAAAATTACCTTTTATACGGGTGCAGCTGTGACAGGAAGAAGACTACAGTTTTACGCTACATTTTAATACAACATTGGCCATTGCTAGCCAACGTTAGGAAATTTCTCTTCTAGACAGGAAGTACTGTCATGTGGATGTCGATCACAAGTTTCATAAGAGGAACGAAAATAGGAGATTCTAAGAAAAAGATACTTACAAGTCAAGATTGTCTAACAAGGTCTGGCAGACTGTATTCAAGTATCCCGTCTCTATTGCATTATGAGAGACATCAAACACAAAGAGGTACACAGGTGGTTGAGGTGGACGTAGCTGAGCAAAGAAAAGATTACCTTTAATTTTCAAAATTACATTTATTAGATTGGGTTTAGTCATTCCATTGCAAGTTTAAACTCTATTAAAACAGCACACAGATGATAGCCAAAACTTCTGAATGCATTTGTCTCTTATTGTTTAATTCTAGAATTACAGTTTTCTTCCAGAAGACCTACAAACACCTACATACTCTAAATACAGAAGAACTTTGACATCGTAAATTTATTGGGTATCTAGAATTACAGTTTTCTTCCAGAAGACCTACAAACACCTACATATTCTAAATACAGAAGAACTTTGACACCGTAAATGTTTAGAAATGAAGAACTGCCTGAAGTTCTTCCCAAGAGTTCTCAGATACACTCCTCGAGGCAGCAACTGTTTTACTGAGCTGGAAAACATCCTCTATAACAAGGCTTTTCTGACTTCCCTCTGGAAATAAAACAAACGGAGAGAATAACTAAAAGTAAATAAAGCCTTACCATGTATTCAGACGGAGCCATAAACTCATGTTTAGAAATGAAGAACTGCCTGAAGTTCTTCCCAAGAGTTCTCAGATACACTCCTCGAGGCAGCAACTGTTTTACTGAGCTGGAAAACATCCTCTATAACAAGGCTTTTCTGACTTCCCTCTGGAAATAAAACAAACGGAGAGAATAACTAAAAGTAAATAAAGCCTTACCATGTATTCAGACGGAGCCATAAACTCAATAGTAGCATTCTGGACTTCAGGTCTTTTATGAGGTTCTCCATAAACTCTTGTCACAGGATTATACATGAATTCTTCAGGAACTACGCAGATAAGTTTGTATATTATTACTTCACACTAGTATTAGCTGTGCTGCATCTTAAAACAAATACATCAACTCTTTTGTGCCTGTTGGGCAATGCTTCTTGGAGAACTTACTAGGCAGGGCAGCTATTTTGTCACCTGCTAGGGTACCTTGGGAGACCACGTCAGGCTCACCGTGCTCCATTAGTGACACCACTGTCTTTGCCCATGGGAAACATTTCTCATGTCTCACAGCCCCAGCACAACTGATGACGAACCCTAGTACTGATATGGCCAACAATACTACAGTCTCAAAGGCCAAGGTGGGAAAGGTTAACCTCAACAGTTTAAAAGCAATAAGCACACTTAAAACCTACCATCATTCACTCTGTAGCACAAATTGCATTTCCATCTCCTTTGGTCTAGAAAGCTGACAAAAGGGTTAATGTATGTCCGGCAGGAACGGCATCTCACAATAGTACTTGAAGTGACCACTGGCAATTGCTGGAAAAGAAAAGCTTCCTGTTTTAAAGCATCACCACACTACAGCTACTCATCTACGATAACAGCATTATCTACACTGTGCTTCTTGGTTAGCTAGTCAAAGCATACTTGTTGAAGAAAGAAGTATTTCTGCACCCTCACAGCATCCCTACAATTCCTTAGTAAGATGACTAGTTGGAACTGAGCTCTAACCTATTTGACTGTGTAGGTTCCCTTTTCAAGCCTCTAAAGTCTTGAATTTTACACTGATGGTTTAAGACCAAGTCCTATACCCAATACAGATCAAAAATCAGAAAAAAACCCCCACATCTTTGAAAAATTACTTAAATTGTGGAAAATAACAACGTTTAAAAGAGGCACTGCTAAATTCACAAAGTCTCCTGGCTATCTGAGGACATCCAAACCCCTTTAACTTTGTTAATTCTTAATTAAGTTTAGAATTAGTACTAGGTTTGGTATAGGAAATCAGTAACTACAACTGATACATGACAAGATAAAGCTATCTAAGCCATACTGGAATTTAGATGTGTTGCCTTCTGTCGCAGTCTGAGTACTGTGCTGCCTCTAAGCTTCTGGTATTTTGAGGTTTGGGAGGTTTTTTTGATTAAGAAGTGAGGCTTGAAAGTTTAAAAATGGTAGGGAGAAAAACTTCAGAAAAATTACAATGATCCGTATGGAACGGGAAAATGTCAGTTACCAGGGTAATTTTTCTGGGCCAAGATTAGCCAATATACTTGACCTTCTTTAATAATTCATTGTCCAGCTCTGGACTTTAATAAAGGCATTGTTGATATTTCAGCATTTAAAGTTTTGAATATTTGTCATACCGATAAGTCTTTGAAAGGATGAAGCAGGAGCCCCAAAGGAAGTTTGGCTTTATTCAATAAGGCCTGAGTTTGAGGAATGTTAGTCAGGGTACAGCGGAACAACCTACATGGAGGACAAAGGGTTATTTTCAGAGGCTTTCAGATAATAAAATGATGATTTCAATAGTACAGAGCATCCTTTATATTTTTCTAGAGCTGGTGATGGTGAATTTCCGTTTCCAGATAAAGGATCTTCTCCATCTCTGTCAAATCGTTCTGTTCTAGTCTGAGCCTGACCCACAGTACATACTTTGAGTTCTTATTTTATACACATGCTCTTTACACATAACAGTGTCATTTTATTCACTCAAGTCAAAGTTAAGCCTAACAATGCTCCAAGTTGCACCAAATCTTTATATACTGTTATTTTGGAATACCATTTTGAGGTGGCCTTATATACAAATCTGAAGCAGCAAAGTTTAAAAAGTTGTGTTAAAACTACACAAAAATATAAACAACCCCACGGTCATTTCTAGAGACTTCAGAACTTAGTGGTTTCCAAAGTGCAGATGTGCATGCTACTTCTGCAAATCCAGCCCAGCTTGTTTGTATGAACAACTTCACGAAGATGCTGTTATTTCCTTTATCTATCGTAAAAAGCTTGCAAAGCTGGAATACCTGGTTATAAGCAGTTTGGTTGGTCTCCTCAGAGAGACTACTTGAATAACCAACTGCCAGCCTCTTGTTTCACATTCCATTTACTCCATTGTTTTAAATGGTTACTTTCAATACAGAGGTCACTCATGTTTCTGCATTCACAATCTTTTTGGTGTACCTCACTCAAGTGAGTTAACTCCTGTTTTATCTTTTCTCAATCATACTCATTGCCAACTATATTGTCAGGTTTTTGTATTATACCTGTCTATAGCTGCCTTGCAAGCAATGTATTTTTCCTCGTACTTTCTACACAGATAATTTTCCTCACTTCAAAGTTTAAACCACTTACCGCCTTTATTGTAACACAGTGAAGCCTGTTTTCAATGTGTTCTACTCACAGAATTAAGGAAATATTTTGTGAAGAGTTATGTTTACAAGTAGGAATGTATACTTCAATTTATTTTGATGGATGATAGCAAATGGATAATCTTACTCAGGATTACAGTTGAGCTTCTGGATGTCTTCATGCAAGTTTGGGACAGGAGCCTTCAAGAGGGTTGTAGGAAGAATATTTCTTTCTTGAAGAAGATTCATGGGTCTTAATCCTTCTTGCTGTAGACTCAGGCCACCCATAGATGCAGTTAAGTGACTAGTGCCCAGGGCAGGCTAGAGTCAAATAAAATTTCAGAAATAAACACCAATTATTTGGATGAAACCCACAGTTCATTTAAAAAGCAAACATATTTCCCTTTTTTGTTTTGTTTATTAACTGCCATTGTATTACAATGATACATTTAGAAATACTACTCGTTACATAAACTTGGACTTAGGCATGTAACATAATAGAGGTGAAAATTAGCATACATTTGCTACAAAGCTCTTGAAATACAGAGGCTCAGCTGACAAAAGCGTTGGTCAGTTCGCTTTGAAAGTTCAGGGAAAAAACCCCAAATACTTCAGCTAACAATAGCAACCCGAGGGAAGAAAAACATGCCAAAAGCAGCTGAAAGTTTTAAGAGAAATATTCTGAACAGATTCGAGGATAGAACACTTCAGAAAGAGCTGGCACACAGCTTTTCCAAACTGGTACCAAGGCGTCAGCAAAAGCATTAATTTCAGGCTACATCTATCGTCTTGGACAAATGGCGCACCAGTGAACCACACAAGCAGCACCCCATAGACGCACAACACACACCAATCGTCACTCTTCTTTACCCACGTGCATCATAGGTAGTACTGAGACAAAAACCAGACAATCTTTACCTGGTGGAAATGTTTTGATCCATCTGGGTATTGCAAAGCAGATGCTTGCATTCCTGGTGCGCCAGGTGGAGAAGTATTTTGGTAGCCTGGAGGTAAGGTAGGGTAAGAATACCCAACACTTCTATTCATCTTAAGATTCGGGGGTGCAGGAGAAGGGTGCGGAGTTGCTAGAGGCAGAGTAGACAAATACTTAAAATTAATTGCTGAAGAACTGCAGCTTGCTCAATGCATTAATACAGCAGGAGGTCTTTTTGTTGTTGTTTAGTTTCTAAGTGTAAACAACTGACAACTGCTGTCAATTTTGCAAAGTGCTCTTAACTGCTTTACCATGCTTACAGGCAAAGACATGCTAATTGTCAATGCTTCAAATTTCAGATTTAGTTTCAAGATAGACATCGAACCAAGTATGTATGTTTGTACATAAATGCCCAGAGTCTGAAAAAAAGTTACGTAATAGTAAACATTTTTAATTCCAAAGCCTTACCCATGAGGCCACCACCTTCTATTGCATCATAGCTGTTTTGGACCACAGACCCATCACTGGCAGCAGATGTAGCATCACCTGTTAAGAAAGACAGTCCCAGGAAAAATTTTCACGAGTTACTAAGAAGTTGTAATGAGGTAACTGCAAAGAAATCCTACTTGCCAGATGAATATGTAGATTAGCATAGTTTGGATCTACTTTGTTTCTGTCCCAGGAAGAAACTGAATTAAATATACATCTTCACCTCTTTCTCACACACACTTCCCCTGCTGACATGGACATTCATAAAACCCCACAATCTTTTTTCAAGGAAAACAAAAGTCCCTACATTCAGTTGGGTTGAACGGTCTTTTAAGATTACTTTAGATTAGGTATTCGCCATAACTTCCAAGCTAATATGCAGTAAAGTGTCGGGGGACACTTCTTCCTCATCAGAGGAAGCGTTGGTAGGCTAGCTGCAGTTTTCAAAGTACCTTGGAATTAAGGTACTGAGTTCCTTGAAGAACTTTTTCCACTGATAATTCATGGAAACACCAAATTCCCTTCGCTTACACACTTAGTCCAGTACTGTCCACCAAACACCAACAGTTCTGATATGGTCACATACCAGTCAAGATATAAATTCCAGCCGAGATAAGAAAAACCTTGAAACAGAGACTGCTGCCAAAGGACAGCTTTTTGTAAGCTAACTATGTCTAAATACACAAAACCAATTATCTATTGCTAAGGAGAAGTAGGTACTTAATTTACTTTTTATTATCATTAAAATCTTCAAAGATGACCCAATGAAAGGAACTTACATTATACGCTGAATCTTGCTAGTAGGCAGAAGTCAACCTACTTCACAGACTAAACTTTACTCTCTCCAGGGCCCTGGAAATGTCTCTCTTCATTATGAAGAAAAAAACTTTCTAAGCGAAAGCAGTTTCTAATGCATTTCATATGTTCAAAACTAAGCTACATCTGATATACTATTCTTGTACTCACACAGCTACCACATACAAGAAACTGTCAACGTGAACATGCAAGGAACCAACAGTTTTGGCAGAACAAACCATGCATGTAAAAATAAAACTGCCAACTACCACATGGCCCCATCTAGCATGGGCACTAAACACAATACAACTGCAGGTCTGTTTGATACAGAGCCCTGATGAGTTCTTAAACGTGTTTGTGCAGGGCCCACAGGAGACAGAGAAAGTCAGGTATCTGTCTTCAACAGCTGACGCTTAACAGCCTCTACTAACAACCTTCAGAAAATGAACAAATCCAAGATAGGTGTTTCAGTGATTTTACACAGGAGGGAAGAATAAGGTACAGCTACATAAACAGGCAAGGAATTGCAGGGTTCACATTTTAGCTTTCCCTGCAGAATAAAACAATACAGGAAGTCATACACAGATTATGTCCTCCACAGCAGTCAAGGATGCAGAGAAATCAGAATTTCAGTATCATTTTAGAACACTAAAAATAAAGAGATGGCAACTATGGGAGACATGGACATGTTAAACAGCACTTAGAAATCTATTTTGAAGTGTTAATTATTTTTATTTTATTAACAACTGTCAACAAGAAATATTTTATTTCCTTCCAGGTCCTTACCTGCTCCTTTCAGATAAAATTATGCTGTATTAGTATCAATTTTACCATTTGAGTGTCTAATAGAACAGTGTACTTGACTTTAAAGGTTGCATACTAGAGCAAGTTGTAATGTTCAAATTAAACAAAAAGAGCAAGTTATTTCCTACCTTCTCGATTTGCAGCTGAATTTAGCAGAGACTGTGTATTAGGTGGCCCTGCTATCAGTGTTGATGGCCTAATTAAAGGTGGACCACCAACTGGCGGGGGTCCTAAAGGTGGCCTTGCAGGAGGGTGGAGTGGAGTTAAAGGCTGAGTCACTGGTGGAGGTGCAGATCCTGTGAAAAGATTAATTTTTAGGAGGAGTTTAACCCAGCTGAAAAAGCCGCAAAAGTTTTGTTACAAAAACACACAGATTGAACTCTAAATATTCCTCTTGTTCATATGATAAACAGTATGAGATACATAAATCCTAACATGCGTGTAGAACGTTTCACAACTTCAGATTGTTTCTGTCATGCTCTTCTCACGCTGGGTTCCTGTAGCTATTATCCATGATCTCTTTCAGCTTTTTGTTGCTATTGTTGGTACGAATTTCAAGAGGAACAGAAAGCATCCCAACTTCAATTACTAAGACTGGACTTTATATGAAGTTATAGTACAGCCCCATATTAGAGAATAATGAACTAGTAAGAGTCTAAACAGATTCCTTCTGACAGAATGCTCATCTTCCACTTCAATAATCTGATGCAAACCAGCAATGTACAGATTCTATAGCTACTAAAATTACTTGGGAAAAAGATTTCACTTGGGAAAGCAACAGCAATGTGCAGTCTGAATAAACTTTCTGTGTGAGCGTGAGGTGTTTTGCTCTGAAATATTTAACCCTCCATGTTAAAAGTCACAGGAAAGTTTTTAATTGCTTCTATTTTAAAATTCTCAAGCCAAGACATTTAGAAACCCAGTTGATTTTCTTCCGTTCAAATAATGCCAAATCCGAAGAGCACTTCCACCTCTTTGTTCCCTATTATTCCAGAAGCCAGTATAACTGCCCTTTAATTCTAGGAAGATACTAGTGTGTTTTAATATAAAAGTTAGCTTTTCAAAAGATAAGGCCAAATTGTCCAGTATCACCAGGTCTCAACACGGTACAGAAGCCTGTAAGCCATACACAAAAGTATACTGATGAATTCCCACCACACAAAATAGGCAACCTCATGCGCCTGCACAGTATGGTCACATTTAAGGGAGGAGGGAAAGAAAAAAAGGAAGGAAAAAAAAAAAAAAAAATCACATCCAGTGAAGTTCTCTCTTTGTTCACTTAGTGTTTGATACTGCAAAGCTAATTAATAATTGCTGTGTGCAGGCAACACTATCACAGAACTTGGAAGAGGTTCTGTGTCTAAGAGGCTGTCCAAAGTTGGCCATGCAGGCAGGGAGCTGGCAAGACCTTTGTTCTAAGAGTGAGCGTGATGAGCAAAATGAGCTAAATTAATTTTAAAAGTGATCATTGTTCTACAAAAAACTACCAGGGAAATTGCTCAGGAAGATCCACCATTGAAAGGATATAAGAATTCTCCTATTCCAGACACTCACTCTTATTTCATATGCCACTTTCCAAAATTTCTCATCATTTTCCTCACTGATTCCAAAGTACTAACTGTTTATTCCAATAAACTGCCAGAAATAGTTTCATAAATTCTGTGAGCTTAAGACAGTTTGAATATCATAACAAAATTAGTCAGGCATATAACAAAAAACTAGCATCAAGAAAAATCTCTAATGAGTCTAAAAGCATTTCACAAGAAAAAAAATATTTGCTTTAACATTTAAAATATTTCTGTATGTAACTCCTATTAGCACGCTCAGAAAGATGGTTAGAAACACCTCTGTAACAACAAACAGCAGTTTGGCAAAGAGAAACTTGAGTATTAACTTTGTTTCCATAATAATCACAAGTTATATGAGAGAGCTATTTAGTGTTAGAAAAGCTTTTCACCACTGCATATACCAGCACACAAGCAGCAGAAACAGAAGTGGTAATTCTTTGCATCTCATGCTTTCAGAGTACTTTGACAATCATTATTAGATAGTGAAAATTACAAATTTGGAGGAAGGCAGCTTTCCATCCAACTGGCCTCTATTTCAATGGCACAGAATGCTTTTCAGTTTTCTTTCCAGGCTGTGCTCAAGTTATTTGCATCAACCTGACTGAGGCCGTTCTGAGAACTACCTGTATCAAGTGGTAGAAAGGCTAACAAGTTTTAAACTGCGAAAGACCACACTCACTAAACAGGTCTACAGTTTTCAACCGTGAAGTCCCAAAGTCCCCACTTGACTGAAGCATGCCAATGTTCCAACAGCCACCCCAAGGAATGGTGAAGGTCACAGAAACAGCATTACCCACAAACAGCTTCCCAAAATGACGAGACACCATTCAGGAGTTACCTGCTTCAGCCAGCCGAAATGCCTAACCTGCGCACAGAACTTCCATTTCTAATCCAAAGAAACCACCCCAGTATTTGTGATGTGCATTTTCTCAAAGTATCTGCTTTGACAACCTCGTTCCACAAGCAAAATGCCGCTACAGAGTAAATTCTATATTCTGTTTTTAAAAAGGACGCTGAGAAACGGGCACTGGCAAAATATCAAAAAGTTACGGTTACCTGGCTTCACATAGCTGTTCTGAAGCGGAGGACCTCCCGGAGAAGCAGCATATTGGTAACTTCCTGGAGGATTTGTATTTCCTGATAACGACGACGGTGGCTGAGCTGACCCTGTCCCCGTCACGTGAGCCAAATGGCTAGCTTGAGACCCAACTGGCTGACTCACAGGAGTCTGGCTGTACTGCCAGTTTGAAAGCCCTGGTGGGCTAGCTCCAGGAGGAAAACTACCAGCGGATGATATAGCAGCTGAGTTTTGCAATACAGGCAGCAGCACTTGCGGAACAGGACCTGTCTGTTGTACTGGGGACCTGGAGAAAGGTGCCACTGGTGGTCTATTGAGAGTCTGCCCAGGTCCTTGATAATTGTTTAACTGAGAAACATTCTGAGAGCCACTATAGTTATACTGTCCAGAAGACTGATGGGGAGGAATCTTCGCCGGCGTCTGATGCGAATACGATCCTGGAACCGAAGGGCTATATCCCTGGCCATCTGATGAATGCATCAGCTGATTTTGAACAGGACCTGGAAGGAAAAAAAAACAATAAACCCTTTAGAAAATCAGTGTTGTGTATCACTTCTGAATATAAGAGATGTTCCCGGGAATCTCTTTCCTTCGGATTTTATGAGTCTCCAAGCCTTTTTTTCTTTTTTTTTTTTTAAAAAACAGTCAGGTGTAAGTGACAGAAGTACTGCTGCAGGAGACATGAATTTGGTAGTATTTTGCTATCAACACTTAGATCTTTGTTTTGTTTTTTTACAGTAGCCTTGCAACCACTAAGCATTCCAGCGCCTGACCACTATCCATCCTCCTGGACTTGAAATTCATACACAATAATATTTCTATCTTCAGAAACACCCAAAAGCAAGCCGACCAAAGAGGAGCGCTCTCCCACACAGCTCGCAGCAGTACAAGTGACCAGACCAAAAGTGGAAGCATCCATTACATAGTAACTTAGTTTCACTTGATGATTGACACCAACTTAAACTTTAGCTTACGGCAAAGACACGAACAGCCAGTTTCAACACAGGTCACCATGCTATTTCTCAAGTGACAGAGTTAATCTATGAAAGTCTCTGCAGTTAATTTTAGTAAGAGAACTATTCATACAAATATTGCTCATGTGAGCAGCCAACTGGTCACGAACATGGAATGAAGGGTAATTTTATCATAAAATAATTCACCAATCAGGAAAATAAAACTTGATAGGTTAATGGTGCTTTTTATGTATGTGTTGGTTGGTATAGCTGAACTAAGTTTTACTCATTTGAAGGGAAGGGGAAAAAAAAAAAAAGAAAAAAGGTTAATAACTCTCCAAAGAGTAAACACCGCTGGCAAGAGCATCATCAGATTTCTGCTTTACACTAGAACACAAAGAGACAGAATACCGTGAGATTTCCAGTGCGACAAGAGCTCCATCAAGAAAGCTACTACTACAGGTTGTTCATACCGTTGCCACAAGATGGACATTCTGAAGGGAGACTATAAATTTTCAAGTGAAATCCTTCTGAGCAGAATACACTAGGTAATGCATGCCACAGCCAGCCACGGCTCCTTAAACGTTACTAAAACGCTTTCCGATGTTGTACCATTTATTTTAGCCAGTCACACTGTGGCTCCCCCCACCCCCCCAAACACACAGTTTGAATACTGGAGACATTCCACATACACAGTTAAACATCTGAAAGCAGAAAAGATCCTCTTCATGGTTTAGAGTTAAGATTCTATTCTTTGCAACCCTGTACTATTTTCCAGATTTCCAGGCTTAGTTAAGATTTGGACAATTTTTTTTGAACCTATATAAACAAAAGCACTTAATATTCCAGACTAGAAACCACTTAAATTTTCAAAAACATGCCAGAGAGATTAGCTTGGAGAGTGGATATATATTTACCATGCAAGTACTGGAAACAGCTGCCATCAGAATGAAATCACAGAATTTCATTTAACATTGAAACAGAGACAGCTGGTTTCCTATTGAAGCATTCTAGTTAAATTTCAAAAGGTGAGGAAGTTCGCATTTCCAAGTTAAAATAACTTTGAACTCGGGCGTTTCTGACAATAAGTTAAGCTAAACACAGAATACATTGAAATATTTAGTTAGGACAAATACTGCACCGGTCATTCAGCTCCTCATTCCCTAGAAAGCCTTAGGCTGCAGTTGACAGACAGCTGTTACTTCACTGAATATCGTACATATCCACGCTAACTACATAGCCAAGGCAGTACTACAGTGCCAGTGACCTCATCCTCACTGCCTCTGTTATTTGTGCATAAAAAGTACATACCATATTATTCTCCACCCATTAATCTCAATATGCTACTTATCGTTCAGTTAGGAAATCCAGTTATATGCCGCTGTCCTTACAATGCTGCTCATAAATCTTAGTAATTAATAATCCTCTAAAATCAATAGCGTCTAAACAAAAAGCTTGCAAACACGAAAGTGCTAACAATTAGGACTCACCTTCGAAAATTACCTTGCAGTGTATCAGATGGGTTTTCAACAATCGATTTACAAAATCCATTGTAAATTAAACTTGCTAACTCTAAGAACTATGAAGAATTCTTATGTGATGCCAGGCCTCCTGACTGCATCACCACATACACTGATACAACAACATTACTATAAGCCATACGAAAAATACAGAACAAAGACAAATTAACTTCTTAAGTTGATTATTCACCTTTGAGCATGACTCTCTAGCCCAGGCAGGAATCGGAGTACTTGGGTGGCTCTCTACGCACTGTTTTCCCTGCTTGAGGGATAAGTTTGAGGATAAAGCAATGGCAGCGAGGTGAAACCCAAAACTGACCGACCTGGTATCTCCTGTGGCACTTTGCTTTAAAAATCAAATTCACCGTGGCACCGTGTTCCAAATTTTAATTTTTACTTTCAATTCAGAAGCACAACGAAAAGTCTCGATAGCCTACGGGCAGTTCATGTTTTCAAGACAAGCCTGCATAAAGCTGCCAACAAAACTAAAGCAACAGCACTGAGGGGTGCAAACCCTTTCCAAAGGGCTTCACATTCCACAAAGACTTCTCAGAACTTGCTCTTTTGCTGCTGCCCTCTTGACCTGACCTCTTTACTGAGCCCTGTCGGAGAGCATATAGGCCTTCCAGCTTTCCCCAAACGCTGCTGCTGGTTTCCTGCGCTGTTCTGTGAAGCCAGGAACTAACAAGGAATTCAGCGTAGACTGAAGAGCTAGACGACCTGCACGGCAGCAAAACCACCGACACTCAGAGCAGAAATAAGTTAGTAATACAAGAAAGGCCACCTACATAACAGCGAAAGGCGCTGTTACGCGTAATACAAGAAAGGCCACCTACATAACCTCTACAGGAACACAAGGCCATTTCACATTTTTAAGAGATCAGGAATGGCACCAGAATACATCTGAAGGTTGCCTGATGGGTTTATAAAATGAGGGGTCAAAATATTGGCGTGGAAGGCTAGGATTCAAGTCATATTTTCTGCCATACGGAATTTCAGCATCACCTACTCCAAGCCAGTTATTTAGTACATCTCTTTCACCAGCCGCAACCTTTCCAACCTCCAGGGAGAGGCAAGGATAAACACGCTGAAAAGCTGCATCCCAACCGAACCGCCACGGGATCGGTCACCACCAGCGCCCACTTCAGCCGACTTTGACCCGCTGGTCTCCAAGCACACGGAGAGCTGACCAAACCCAACAGCTCGTAAAGCATCTCATGACCCCAAAGTGCCATCCTAAGATATCACATGAGGAGAGCAAAAGAGTTCTAAAAGAATTGTTTCTTCTTCTTGTTTGCACTTCAGATTTATTAACTGGAAAGCAAATTAGTAACCTGCAGTTAAATGAATACAAAATACTGGTCCTATTAAAAGAAAAACACAAATGAAGTAGAGGAAGGTTGTTGCTAAGCAACCCGATGCTCCGTGCTAAACAATTTCCCGGTCAGCTCACGGTGCTGCTGTGACAATTTACTGCCCCCGCTGGACACGCGAGCTCGGGGAGTTACCTGCAAACAGTAAAGCAAGCAACAAGTTGAGAGGAAGAGCTGACAGCTATATAACAATTTATCATTCTGTTGACAGCTTTCTTTCCTCATAGACCACTGCGAGTATCACAACACTACTCTCAGTATGCTCTAGACTGTTTTAAAAAGCTTTATTTTTACTGTAAGGGTCAAGGATCACAGCACCTTCTCAATATGTATTTTAAACAATACTAAGAACAGTCCACGCTTGAATAATCTAATTTATTCAAAAGGCCAGCAACCCAAACCTTATCTCTAACATACCGTAACAACTGTTTAATTTTATTACCTTGAATTTGCTTAACTCGAAATTTCAGTTCTTTATTTTTCATACACCTGACAGCCGGGTAGCCTGAAATTCCTCCTCCTCCAACTGCCTCTCCAGAACTTCCATTACGCGCTTACAGCAAACATAAAGTGATGCCAGCCTGTAAATCATCCCACTCGATCGCTCCATTAGCTAACGTTCGCTTTGTACATTCTCTGCTCAGACCGTAAGCTCTCCGGAATAGAGGGTCTCTCTTCAGACTATATTCATACGCTTCCCACTTTCTTGACCCTCTAAGCAACTACACAGTTGTTTGTAAAATGTCATTTTGCAGATGACTTTGAGGAAAAGTAATAAGCGCGCTGTGAAGGAAGGAGGAGGGGAAAGACAAGTCAAACCATTTAATTACTCATGCATAAAGCAGAAAAAAATCAAAAGATCTCATTATAACTGAATTGCTTATGATGCAGCACAACTACTGAAACACAGAAGCGTATAATTAAGGAACCAAGTACAGAGGATGCTGTCTGTATATGCAAAATCAGGAAATACTTCCAACAGCACAGATTTCCACACTTGCAAAGAAAACAGATACGGAGACAAGGCTCACCTTGTATGTCTTTCTTCCTAGCTTAAAAGGCTGGCTTGTAAGTTATTCAGTTTCACTTTCAATGTCTTGTTTTAAAAAAAAAAGATGTATTTTGAGGGGAAGAAAGTCCTTAAGACTTTCCCAGATTGTAGCACATGGAACAAGATAATATCGGTCTTACGTGAATGACAAGATTAAAAAAAAAAAAAACCCATTGCGGTGCAGCCTGGGCTCAGCCAGGTCCCCCCCCCGCGCCAGCGATAACCACAGTGCCACATGTACAGCTCCGTTCCAAAGGGTCAGAGGCTCCGACCGCTGCCTCGGCTCTGTCACCGTCAGGGATACGGGCTAAACGTAACGTCCAGTGCGGCTCACGCCGTACGTTTTACCTAGGTGGCATAAACACAGGTCTTCCGAAAGGCACTTTTGTCACTTTATAACCCAAGACACACACAAAAATACACTCGGGGACACTTCTGTCACGAAAAGCGATCGGAATGAAATCCTGTTTTGCCTGATGAACAGCTCTGCGTTTTTCTCAGCGACGTTTTCGGCAGGACACGCTCCCGCCAGCCGCTCACCGCGATTCCCACCCCCGGCAGTCCCCAGCACCCCTCGTCTCCCAGCCAGGGAGCCAGCCGCACCCCAGCCGCCCCCGCCCGGGGCTGCCCGCAGCCGTCGCTCCCAC